TAAAAATTAATTAATTGCTCTGATTCTATTGGTCGCCGCAGTGTTCAGAAGTACCAAAGAGAGAACATTTTGATGAGAATTCATTACTAAACGCCGTTACCTCTGCATACCTCTTTCTGATAGATTAATTCGCATTAATTAATGATCTAATCACCGAATAAATAATTTTTTTACAGGAATGCTCAGCGCACACCACAGATTTCTACGTTTTCCCGAACACACGCGACAATATCATGTTTTGATAGTAGATTTTACAGACATGTAATGTTTTTCTCAAAATCGCAAGTTGCAGGTCCGTCGGTATGTGGGTCTTGGTTTCTGGGCGCTGGGAATGAAACTCCCGAAACTGCGACAATTTTGCGCTCCGTGCATGTTGCGAAGCCCAGCAACAGAGCGGCAAGCGTAAAGCTATTCTAAACGGAAGGGCGACAATAAAGAGAAATTGGCTCTGTGTTGACAAAAAGATGTCTCCTCCACCGAAAAATATAAAACACAACATACCGTACAAACATTATGAAAGAAGTTGCATGTGAATGAAGTATTAAACCAGGAGCGACGACAGTTTAACAGCTTAATAGATAACAAATAGATTAAAGTCATCATTTCAAAAGGAATGAATGAGTGAAATCATAAAAATCCTCATGGCTCTCAGCTCTCACATTTACAGCCACTTGAACCGCTAAGGATTGCATGCTTCGAAGGAGGCGGTTCATGGAAACGCACCCACCAGTTAGTCGGGGAAATCGTAGGAAAAACGTGCGATTAAACGTCACACACGCTCTGGTGCTCGCCACTCTATATTTCAACGAGGCTGGCCTACCCGTTCACGCCATGCACCTACGGCCGATAGGATCAGCGTCACCAAACCCCTTTCCTTTACACCGAAAGAAAGAAAAATGACTACGGCGTGAAGTGTAAAAACAAAAAGGCAGGGTGTCTGTCCAAGGGATTTCCCAGAGAGTACGTTCTCAGATCAATTAGGCAAACAGGGAGCATGACGCCTGCGAGATTCAGGTTAGGCCGCCCCGCAGTACACACATGTACCCATGCTGTATGTTGCCTACCTATCAGGCGCTATGGGAGCAAGCACGTCCCGTGAGGAGGCGGCCGCGGTTAAAGGTCGGGGGAATGCCCAACCGGGCAGGGCAGATCTTGTATAGCCACACGGGGCTGTACTGTACACTAACTCTCCCTGACCTTGCTAGGCTAGAGGACCGATCATCAAAATCGTATTAGGAATTATAACATACCACCATCACCCCTTACCCCTTTATCCACATTCGCCTCTTAATTAACATTCCAATACAGTCTTCCCCAAGGGCAACGGCACACCAAACCATGAAACTATGTGAAATAAATCAAATGTAACAGTAAGAATTTTACTTTATCGACAATCCCGGATACTGTCTCTACCAAAAGGCCCGCTCCACTCCCGTTTTGCTTTGGGAGGCTCATTTTTAGCAGATGATACATCATTCACAACTGAAATTAATAATACTTTACTTAACGATGTGTCATTGCTTGTACTCTCGTGCGGAGCGCTGAGGCTGAGAGGCACAAGGCATGACGTCATCAGTAGTGTGTAGGGGCGCGAGATGCGGACCGGTCCCGTCCACCCGTCCGACCGTGCCGCAAAGCCCATAGCTACGCAGGCCCCCTCCCTCCGGCAGACTCGGCTCGTCGCTCGGCTCGTCGCTCGGCTCGTCGCTCGGCTCGTCGCTCGGCTCGAAGCCACTACTCGGCTCGGACCGTCTCGGCTGAGGAACGCGCGCGGCGCGGTAATTCAAACTCTAACCTCACTATGAAGAGACAGAACTAAATGAATTCAGAAACATTATTTTCAAACCATGTCTTATTGAGAATTATCACTCGCAAACTGTCTTTACGTCCCTCTTCACACTATTTTTTTGGCCCTTCAAAACTTTACTAAGTATAGGAGACACAGAACACAACCCAAATCTTT